TCGCATAGAATTTCGTAATTAATTGATTTAAATTGATGTTATTCGATTTATATCAATTCTCTTCCAAAAAAATATCCGATTCCTACCAAATCGATTCACAAAATAAAAAAGGATTCAAATATACGTCCAAATAAATTACAACTGAAATGTAGGCGGGATTATGAAAAAAATTCAAAAAACTTTACCGAATAAAGTAATCAAACGAAAAAAAGCGGGAATATGAAGCGGGAAACGAAATAATTTTTTCTTTTTTTTGAGTTTTTTGAATAATTTTTCTTAGCTGTATTATATAGTAATAGATGATAAAATTTTTTACCAAAATAATTATTTTATGGAATCACGTGTAGTCAAATCGAATTTCTGAATAAAAAATTTAAAAGGACACTTTTTTGAAATGAATATAGTGTATTTTATTTTACGTTACATACACCGTAGGGGTTGTGTACTAATTTAACCTTTTTTTTTCTTCTTAAGGAGGATCAATAGTGTTCTCAGTTCTCTTACTCGGTGACTCGAACTCATGACCTATTGGTCATAGGTCATAGGTGAAATGTCTTGCTACTCAAGTTGCGCTTCGTTGTCGGGTTGTGCACTAATTTTAAATAAACATGTTCATGTGATTTTGCACAATTTAAATTTCAGATAACATTAAAATTTTAATTTATTAATATTAATGAACGTGCATCGCACGGGATTCGTACTAGTACACCTTCATTGGAATTAACAATTAAAGTTCAAACGAGGTCTAGTATTGGCAATGAGTCACATGAATGAATGTCAATTAATTTGAAGCCTAAGAGAGTAGGGAAGCCATTAGAGCACCCACAATGTTTTAGGTCTCTTAAAAAAAATCAAGTGTCGTGTAGGAAATAGACTTAGTCTATAAAAAGATGTATTCTTTTTTTTTTTGTTCCAAACGATAGATTTTATAGCACAAATTACAAATTACAAACACCAAAACAGCGAAAACGCTAAAATGGCCCAGCTAAAAAGCTGAAAGTGGGAGATCTACACAGGGTGTAGTCTAAACCGGCCTAATGTCAACACGTGTCAACACACCTAAATCACGGAAAAACACACAACGAAACTCCAACAAAGTGGAGTCAGAAACTCCAACAAGTGGAGGAAGAAACTCTCAAAACGGGAGAACCCAAAGACAGACCGAAACACCAACCTACACCATTTAAAAACTAAGTAAAATAAGAAAACAAGGACAATTCCCTCCCCTGCCGGAACACGAACCCAACGCCCATCAAAACCTAACGAATATCCAAACAAGCAATCAAACGAAAAGCAACCTCCAGATCTTCAACCCAACCCGACAAGCCCGAAGGATCTCACACAGGCTAACCATGGCCAGACCCAAAGCCCTGAAGTCTCTATCCGAGACCGCATAATCGCCGAGGTTGGTACCACCACAGCCCCTCCCCCCTTCCCCTCCCAAGCACACTCCGCAGCCGTCCAAGTCTCGCTGCCTCCGCCGGAGGATCCGGCCTGACCAACACCAGGAATAGCCGGGTAAGAGGGGAACCAAGGCTTGACCTCCACCGAAGACCTCCACAAGGACTTCAACGGTGGCCGCCAGACCTGACATCGACTGCACCCCACCTCATTTACTTCCGTCATGGCGCTACGGGGAGAGCGGAACCATTTCTGGGAAGAATCGACGAGAAGTCGCCACCGCCGCCGGACCAGCAAGCCCATGGCGAGTCAGATGTCCGCCGGAATTGCGAGACCAAGGGCCTCCAGAGGGAAAAAGCACGCAGGTGTCGGCGGAGGGGCTAGGTTAGATTTGGGGTTTTTGGTTTTTAGAGAGAGATTTTTTCCGTTTTATAAAAAGTTGTATTCCAATGCAATAAAAAGTAGACATGGTCTAGCTTATGTGGTATTAGAACAAAGAGACCAAGTCCACTCTTGGGTCCATTTTGGACCCAAGTACAAACCTGTCCAGTCATCAATTGTTCACAATTTTTTTTTTTTAATAGGCAAAACATATTGTTTTGTATGCATTTATTATTATTATATTTTTATTGGTTGTTTGGTATTCTAGACCTAGTTCTTTTTTGTTTTGCATTGGATAGATTTTGGATTTTTTAGCTTGGGTTTGTCCATGTCATTATGGACTTAAGTCTATTTATTTGCCACATATGCAAAAAGAGACCCAAAGCATTGTGGGTGCTCTTAGGGATCTGTACTTACAGGAAAATTCCAAAACTAGTCCCACAGGTATAGGGGGTGAAATTTTTTGTCCCAACGGAATCCAGAAAATATTAATAATCCCGCCGCTTTTAACAAATGATCAAAAGTATGAATTTTTTCAATTTATTGGCCCAAAAAGCCACGTCGCACACACGTGGCGGGACTATTTAATATTTTTAGATTCCGTTGGGACAAAAAATGTCACATCCCAAAACCTGTGGGACTAGTTTTGATTTTTTTCCTTGGCATTGTACTCAGCCACGTCAGATGTATGTGGCCATGTGTGTGCGACGTGCTTTTCGGGCAGGAAAATTAACAAAAGTCATACTTTTGATCATTTTTAAAAGCTGCGGGACTATTAATATTTTCTGGATTCCGTTGGGACAAAAAATGTCACCCTCTATATTTGTGGGACTAGTTTCAAATTTTTCTCTAAAACTTACTAACTTAAGATATATAAAATTATAAAACCCAAATATTGCTATGCATATCCTCCCTATATATAATTCCCGAATGCGCTGAGCTTACGTGGCTGCTTCTGGTGCTTCGTAATCCTACTTGGCGAAGAATCATGCTTCGTAATTAGGTTCGGACAAATAATATTGATATATTAATAATTAATAATCTAGGTTCGAACATTCCATAAATATTATTTATCTAACTTAGGTATTTTAATATCACTTGTACTAATATAACACTGTAATTATTTGTAATTTTACATAGTGAAGCACTAAGTGACTAATATATCCCTGACTTTGACTTGTTTCCTTCAATTAGCTATTGATTTGTAAATGTATTTTAAAAGTTGATAACTTTTGTATTTCTTATCGGTTTTACATATATTATATATCAAATTAATCATCTTTTGATGATCTTCGTCCATATTGTATATATGAAATAAATAAATTATATTTATCATTATAATAATAACGAATAATAATATTTATTAAAATTTATTAGAAAAATAAAATTATTTATCAATTGATATATTTATTTTTAATATAGTTATATGTTGTAAGTTAAAAAATTATTATAATAAAGCACATGTAAGTCGCACAAAAAAAATGTCATATCAATTATATAATAATATATATATATATATATATTTGTAAAAGGTATTTAAAATTTCAACTACTTTTTCTCATTAATTTTAGATTTTAAAAAAAAAATTAGCAAGCACCCGTGTAATACACGGGTGTTGTACTAGTATATATAATGCATGAATCTCAACCCATTGTTACTATGTATAGTTTCACTTATTTTAATTTTCTTTTCCTTATTCATGCACAACTAGTACAACACCCGTGTATTACACGGGTGCTTGTTAAAAAATTATTCTTAAATTTTAAAATTAATGAGAAAACTATATTAAATTTAGTTTATTTTTTTACCAAAAAAAAATATTACTATATCTTTTAGAATGATATGTGTTACATATAACTTACATGTGTTATATTATATTAATTTTTATAACTTATATCATATAACTACTTGAATTATAAATATATTAGTTGATAAATAATTTTATTTTTCTAATTAATATTAAAAATAATTTTATTATTGTTATAAAGATAAATATAAATTATTTTTTTTTATACATACAATATGGATGTTAAATCGAAGCTCATCAAAAGAAGATTAATTTGATATATTACATATGTAAAACTGATAAAAAATACAAAAGTTATTAACTTTTAAAAAATATACAGTTCAATAGTATAATAAGGAATGATATTAAAATACAATTAATATGTAACATGAGCATAAATAATCAAAATATTTATGGTAATCCGAACCTAATTATTTTTTGTTTGGAATTAAATTAAAATTTACCCAAGCCTAATAACGAAGCATGTAATTTTGCCACATAGGATTTCGAAACACGAGAAGCAGCCACGTAGGCTCAGCGCATTCTGTATTAATATATACTAGGGGATTGTATAAACTTTTTTATTTTTTATTCTTATTACTCTACTTTCCATTAATTGGATAAAGATCGCTGCTGATTTCGCTGAATCATAAGAGACCCCCACAAAGTTTCTAGACCAAACCTACTTAATATACATTGTTATATTACTGGTAATTTATAGTCATATGGTTGTCATCATCCAATGAATGGAAATGGAATGGAATAAAAAGTCAAAACATAAACTCAAGTAACAATATATTTATATAATATGTGTGTGCTCGTGAATAGAAAATAAAATAATACTATGATCATCTCGAAGCCTAGCTAAATTGACTACGAGTTCGAGCTCGACCGAGCTCGAGTAGTTTGTACACCCGAGGAGCTAGATGATATAATATAACTCAAATATGATTAACTAGAATTTGAGCCCAACTTGCTTGCATTTTTTTTCAGAGTCGAGGTGATCAACAAAATCTACCCTAGCTCGACGACGCCAATGATCGACTCATTTGCAGTCCCTAAACGTGACTTCAGAATTCATTGCAGTTAACATGCAGTTGCATAGTAGAATAAGCAAGTTGGTTTGAGATATGATTATGTACTAATTACTGCATAAAATCGATCAGTAAATTGAACTTTTTTTTTAAAAAAAAAAAAAACTTTTGTGTACTGTGTGTGTGTGTTTGAAT